TTAAGTCAGTTGTTATAATTTTTCGCCGTTCATTTTCTTTGCCAATTTGCCGTTTCTTATGCCAGGTTTTGCTTCTAAAGCTGTTGCCACTGATAAGTCATAGAATCTACGAGTTGTTAATTCACTTAACATAAGTCTTGCAATTTACCTCGCATTCATACCACTTCTGAAAGTTTGATTACGAGAGGGGAAACAGTAGCGGCTTGCTCAGTAATATTAATTCTTCAAAAACCTTTCTGCTTAAACATCAAGGGAATCGATGACTTCTAGCAAACACGTATGTATATAGTAACCCCTTCTTATGAAAGCAATGGAAACAAAGTTTAGTGTTACTTTAAAATTTGAAACACGTGAGTTTGTAGTGCAAGTTAAATGGGTAGATAAAGTAAATTATAATGCTATCGCTCACAACATGTGCTTGTGTCGCTACCCCGTTGATTTAGCGGTACATGGCGGCACATACTTTGAGATTGATATAAAGAATTACGTGATCGTGTAATTCCAAGGGCTTTTATCTTTTATCCGATAAGAGGTCAATGACTGTAGGCAAAGATCGTTCAAATTCTATAATTCAAATCATATTTCGTTGTAAACACCCTCAGGCCGGGGCGGTTCAACTGAGCTGCGTGAGTTTTATATCTCCGTCTCGATCCAGGTATATGTGGAATGTTTTGTGTGTGTTGAGATAATTTTAGAGAGTAACTTGTGGAATTTGGTCAATTTTGAAAGAAGACTCTTACAGGTTTAAAATGTTGCTGCGATTTACTACGAAGCTGCAATGCATATTATATGGAAAGTCTAATTAGAAAGCCTTTTTTTAGTGCCAGAAAGTCTTGTCTGAACGGCGGCGAGAGCTCGGAGCTTCCGAGCCCGCTTTCTTTCTGTATTGGGCAGTGGGATTGACACTTAACATTGTAAGTTCTCTAGACTGAGTTGATTTTTTTTCACACAGCTTAAAATCTGTCACCAAATTTCAAATTCAATTTTATCGTAAACAAGTACTTTTTTTCCGGTTCAGACAGCGCCAAGTCGTCGGATTCCTGTTTGCTCAGAGAATGCCAATTATTGCTTCCTGCAATGTAACCACTGAACGACAGTTTGTGACAATTGTCAATAGCGGCCAACTAGTTGAATAAATTTTTTTTTAACTTCGCGAGAAAGGCTTCGAGGCGACCACTTTCCGTCCTGTTGTCCCACTTACGGGTAATTCCTGTTCTGTTCTAATGATCGATATGGGTTTTACGATCTGATTTATTTTCCAGTTTACTCTGAACATAAAGAAGTAACGCGCGAAATGAATGTCTTGCGAAATTTGTCTGACTTTTATACTTCGACTTTTATTAGTAAGATCTGCGTCCCGACTCGTTGACAGACTAGATGGTTTTATAAGGCTGTCTACCGAAGTGAACAAAAAGCCTTGCACCCATGATTATTTTGTACTATACGTGAATGGTTTGAGTGACATCTCAGAAAAATCAGAATCTCCAAAACGGAAGAACGGCGTGCATTCTATTTATGGAACAGTTCGTCCACCGCTCCATCAGTTTTTTGTGTTTTATTTTAAATTGGCCAACTTTTCCATGCCGTTTTTGCTTCCCGCGCCGGTTCCGCTCTCGTGTCTTATCCTGTATGGGTTCATTTTCATCTTTTAATAGCCGCTTGTGCGCGATTTTTTTTACCAGTTTCTGTGCTCTGTCCTTTAAAATTGGTTAAATGATACATCCTGGCCATGGTTGGAGTTAAATCCTCGTTTGTCCTTATCTTTATAGTTTTACATCTCGATCTTTGTTTGTTGCTGTTGTTACATGTAATAATACAGGGACAGGTTTCCTCGTTATGTGCCAACCTTGATAAATTTCATTTGTAACGCATTGTTACCAATTCATTCCTTAGGGTGCGGATTAAAAAAATACAAATAGTGATCTATTTTATTTTTAACTGACTTTGCTTCTCCGACAAATTTTTAGCAACTCGTATTTAAGCTTTCGAAAAGATTTGACTGACGTTGCTGATATCTCTAAATCTTTCACACGAAGATGTAGCAATCAAATCCTTTCGGTAATTTTAATTTGATGATAACTTAACTGGGTGCTAGTTTTCTATTGATTTATTTTTTGCGTCCTGAAGTACAGATAGAAGGGTCAGTGATGTCTGGCTCACCAAATTGTAATGAGGCGACAAAATTCATCACATGCTTCCCAAACCCCAAGCATGAATTTTTGTCGGGTTACCAG